CTATTGGAACATTTACGCTAGTTTTCTCAAATCCACGAGAAAACCAGCGTAAAATTTGGGTTGGAAAATACAATTGTTTAATCTTTGCTTTTTTCCTGTCGTGTTTCTTGAACATTTGATTTTCCTTTTCATACTCAAAAGAATTATTAGTGCGGCTAAATATTTCATGCAAGAGTTAAAACAATACCGACGGAAAATCCGCCGTGAATATTGTCGTATGTTCAACATGTGTGTATCTTCGACTCCCTCTTCAGGTTGAGTTCCCTCCATTGGCAGCCTACAGATTGGAGTTTGGTGAGCCAGAACCGGACCCCGAAGAGGTACAGAATGACACAGTTTGGGAATTAGCTTACAAATTCTCTACGCTAGTCAAGTTACATTGTCAATTCAGTTGATAAAGCCAAATCATCTTGTTATAATCCCCACCGGCGCATCACCACAGTTTCTTTAAAAATTTACTCTCTATTCCTTTGTCCGTCTTGATTTTAGTTGCAAACTTCGCCGACAAAAGCTATTTTGTCAAATTCCCTACAGCTGTACATCGTAGGAGTTTGATTGACTTAGCCGCACATGTCGGTTTTCGTCCTCTTAATTTTTTTTGTGTTTACTACGGCACAGAAAAAATGGGAACTGTGTCAGTAGTTTGCGCACATACCCAACCCCTAACCTAATCTAACTGTTGTTGAGGTAAAGGAGGAGCACATTTCTGAAGGTACGCAGTTGCTCAGATACTGACAAAACAATGCTCCTAAAACTTGGCTATCTTACAACGTTTTTTTAACAAGTCCGTGTCGTTTAGTCGAGGGCGTGCATCTTGTCGATCTCGGACTGCACCAATAGGGTGAACGCAGACCAGTTGCGCCAAACATGGATGTTTTAACAAGTCTTAGGGTGAATTACATGTAGCAAGAAGCTCTGTAAGTTAGAATATTGTTTAGTTCCTATACATTTTTCCTCGTTTTTAACAGGTACGAAAGCAAGAAGAAGTTTATAAAAGGTTACAGGCAAGAAATAGTCTTAAAAGAACGCTAAACACGATGTTCTCACATGCCTTGGCGAACAGAGCTGCTACTCAGAGGTAAACACGAATCACTTTAATTTGATAACGTTCAGCCGTGAAGTTGTATTCAAATCAAACTCTTTTTATGAACCTTTAAATTCCTAAGTTCCGATTGTTAATTCTTTCATCTGGCTGCTCCAAATTTTCTAGCAAATCAGTTACGAGAGTTTGGTACCAGATCTAGATAACCACTTCCACCTGTTAAGTCTGAGTAATCTCATCACCTGTGTGTTGGATAATGTATAGATGATGTAGATTGCGTTTATGAAATTATTTGTTAATTTTTACCAGACTGATGGACAAGAATGAAGACTATAATTTTGAAAACCTTTCTGGAACTTCAAATCTCGATGAAGTAAGTAAAGTTACCCCTTCCTCTTACTTCGTTGTAAACTTTTATGTCATCATATGTAATCTCAAGGCCTGGTGTTTTCCGATTGATTAAGCAGTTCCCTCGAATTCCTCAACCAATCATAGAACGCCGGAAGCAAAATAAGCCAAACCAAATTTGGTTTGTTCAAAGAACTATTAAAAATGTTAGTGGTTACTTTGGCTGCAGTATCTAACAATTTGTTATTTTTTTTTTCAAACTTAAGTTTCACGACTTGGCTGGTGTTCAGGTAAAACCCAGAACAAGCTCCGAAACGAAACAGTCGGCAAGGATATCCAGTGGCAAAGGTAAAGCTGATTTAACGAAATGAAGAACATATTGCTTGACTGAGATTTGGTAGTTTTTTTTTTGGTTTTTTTTGTGTACCATCATCACGGTCAGCGAGATTATATTCGCTAGGTCGTGTGGTTCAAGAAACTATAACCATTGAAAGCGCTTTGTATTAGGCGGATTATTTCAATTTTTTATCTAACCCTCCAAAAAAGATAAACAGTTACGAACCAGAAAAAGATATTTTGTTGTCTTGTCATCAGCGTGGGACAAAGAAAAAATTCTGAGTCCCTATGAGGAATCGAACCTCAGACCTGTAGAGATTAGAAGGTCTGAGGTTCGATTTTTTATGGGTACTCAAAATTTTTCTTTGTCCCACGCTGGTAACAAGACGAAAAAAACATCTTTCTCTATTTCTTTACCGAGCTCAAAACTGACCATCTCTCTTATTACGAACCAGTTGCAACTTTTTCTTCCTTTTCGTTACTCTCTTTGGATTTTCTTTCAGGGGAAAAGTGTAAATCCGGAAACAGTAAGAGAGCTAGCAGGGAAGCCAAGAGTCCAGAAAGTGATAATCCAGACGGAAGTGAACCCAGAGGTTCTCTCTCTCCTAAACAAGAGTAAGTTTTGCATTTTGTTTTCAATGGGTCAAGGTTTATATGCAACGAAATAGGAAATCTGAAACATTTATTGCTGCTCGGAACATAGATTAGATTCTCGTTGAGGTTCGAACGTCAGTTATGCTCGATTTCGTGTTTGGAAGTTCCATAAAACTTTAACGGAATTCGTTGGTGAGCCAGGCCTTGTACAATGTTCTTATTGTGTACGCACAGACAGACCATCCTGTGAGTTAGAGCCCAGGTAATATCGATTATATGATTTTGTTACTGATCCCAAACGTTCGTTGCACAGGTCAATCTCGACTTGATTCAAGTGATTGCTGAAAACTACCATTCATAACCCATCATCCCCTAAACTCACCCTAAATATAATCAGTTCACTCGCTTTGTTTGGTGGGTTTTTGGGCTGGTTAATTACTGACCTCTTCACTGATGCTCCTCCAGAAACAACAATTTTGAAAGTGTCCTGAGTGGAAATGTTTAATTTTAGATTGTCCCACGTAAAGCAACTTTATCATTTCTTTATTTCTATTTTTTTTTTTCATTTTTTATTTTCAAAGCTTGGTAGTGGAGCTACCGCCGCTCACTTTAGATCAGCTTTCCACTCGCTGCACCGTCAAGGTAAGTGTGTTTTCAAACAATATAATCTCCATTGATTGAACTTACTTGGTCTATCACTGGACACCTTAAGAAGTTCGACAACGAGTAAATAGAGTCGGCGATCGCCTTGCTAGCCTGTAGAAAAATGGTTTTACTCGTTCATCGCTTCTTTTCCGTGCATAGCAGAGCCTTTGCGGCGCCTCTTTTAGCTCCACGCTCGTGTAGGAATAAACTTATAAAAAAGAAGGCCATATTCTGCAAACTGACTTTGACGTGAAGAGCTTTTAACTTGCGCTGGGTTAAACGTTTGATGACGCGTAATTCTAACCTCATAACCTATTTGATGTTGTATGTTCTCCCGTAGGAAGCCAAATGTCTGAGTACGTTTTGGGTCAACCCAACAGCGAAAAAAAAAACTTGAACAGCCATGAAAATCAGAATTACACAGAGGCTGTGTCGTAACTAGTCTCAGAGAGCAGAGATATTGACAACCTCAGAATGAAAGAGCAGAAATTGCGACTGTAGGTTTACAAATGTACACACACTGTCACCAACTGTCCAATATACCTTCATGGAGCATCTGAATGAGAGGACACTGGAATCGTTTTTGCCGAATGGAATGCCAAGATCCTTTTGGCACTAGCCTCACCCGTTCTATATTCCATATGTATGGACTTGTATGAATAAGTATCGAATGAGAACGAATTAAAAAATATTTTATTTTAAACTGTTTTTCGAATGTGTGTATCTCTCTACCGCCAATTGCATTTTCCAAAGCATGTTCTAGCATATCCAAGGTGAATCATGATAAGGAGTATGCACCCTAATATCGAAAAAAATGAGAAAAAAAAGAAGGAGAAGATTTTTATTGTTAGTTTAGATTTGGATACGAGCATGTACCAATGTATGGTGATTTGGCTTTTTAAAACTAAAAATATGAACCTACGATTTGTTAAGTTAGCGTCGGTTTTTAAAAACGATTCTTTTCTTCTTGGAAAAAAAATAATGTTTGAAAGAGCGATTCTCATCATCCTCGGTCCCAACTTGGCCCACGTAAAAGTTTACACAAGCCTATTAAAGGTAGTTTGATTGCATTTTCGCATTACTTCTTCGATTTTATGTGTGATGCGTAGGAAGAGGACGCAAAAAGCGTGAAAGATAAGGAAATCTTTAAGTTTTACATAGCTGCATTTTAAAGTCTACTCTCTTTGTAATCTTTATGTACACTGACACGAATTCAATTACGCGGGTGTTAATGGCTTAGCCTCTAGCGCCATAATTTTCGTCAGCTGTTCAAATTAAAACGATTGTCAGCATCTTCTAGAATGCTAACGACAATTTGGATTGACCTGTTTGACAAAGAACTTTAATATTCAATATTTTGTCAATCGCACGGAAGCTTTGTACGAGTCGCCTCCAAGAAACCCATTTGTGATTAAGTAACTTTGTCGTGTAAGGCCACTTTCTCATTCTCTGTTCTTTTTTTTTTTTTTTGGTCGTTTTTTGCTTTTTCTCATGAAACCTGTTTATTCTCCATTTCTTTACGTTTCGTTTGGTCAAACATTTTGTTTTCATTGAAAAAAACAAAAAACAAAAGCAAAACAAACGAAGCAAAACAAAAACATTCAAAAAGCTTTTTTTTTTCTAGTCTGGCAAAACCACTGAAAATGCCAAAAGTGGTTGCGATCTTTCAGACCGAGTTTCAAACCAAAGCCAAGACTAGATCTGTCTTGAGAGCTAGCATTATTAACTTTCAGTTTACCACCCAGTTAAAAATACGATTGAGTAAGGAAACATACATGCAAACATGCTAAAAACACTGGATACCATGAAAACCAATTAATCTTGGATGATAAAGAATACCTTTAGGGTCAGTAAACCCAGGATTCTCTGCGATGAGTCACGTTTTTTACCTCACTGCGAATTAACAGTTTCCGAAAGTAATCAGGGCCGGACACCAAAATTGCTTTCATACAGTGAGTTTCGAATCTGACATAAATTATTCAGGATACTTCATTTAAAATCATATGACAAGTTATTACCTTCGAGAGGGGCACAATTTGCACAACTGTGAGTTTTTGGATGCGTTTCAAAAACAATTTCGGCCGAAATGACTAACGCAAAATATTAATCAGCGCTGAGATGACTGTCTGTCTAAAACGAAACTCGACATGATTCCTGTTGACCATTAGCAAAAGAAATTGGTCAAGAAATCAGAAATCTTTAATTTGCTTATAGACTTTTTTAGATCTTGTTTCAATCCCGAACAGACCTTGCACTGTTATTTCAGGTTTTCGCAGTATTCGAAATTAATCAAACAACGGTGCAGTACCCTTGTTACTTTTTTCTTCAGTTTGCATCATCTCTCGGTTTAAAACCGGAAATATCTCACCGCATCGCGAGAATCAGCACGCGCGCGCACGTCGTAGTCTAAATTTCCGTCAGATGACGATTCGTGCGACGTAAACAGTGGATGGTAGAGGGAATGGCTTTGGAGCGCGTTTCAGTTGCGGTGTTTTTTTATCATTTCCCAGCAAATGTTCAAGCTTGGAAGGACAATGTCGTCGCCTACAAAGCAAGTTAGTATCCGAAGGTTGCCGCCGCTTCCGAATCAGTTAACACAGAGGAACATAAGAGAAACTGTCAACTCGAATAATGAAAATCACGCCGGAGGCAGCATTAAAACAAAACCTTCCGGAGGTAAACCTGAGAAAGATTTATTCTTTAAATTTTCTTTAGTTTTCCCCAGTATTAAGCTAGGAATAATTTTTTGTACTGTTCTTAATTTTGCCTCTATTAGGGTTTGGGTATTTGTTCATTATTTGTTGTGGCACGATAAGCACTCTGTTTGAATATAAATAGATGAAAGTACTCCCAAAAAATTAAAGCCGTCGTCTAGGCCTTACTTTTGATGATAATCGAGTCTCTCCCGGCGGTAAGGTCTTAAATTTCGTCTTTCCTGACGCATAATCCTGGTGAGTGCTTAGAGGTTTAAGGCAAATAATGCGCCTTTACTTCCGAATAGTGCGTTCAGTGCTTCCTGCATACAGAATGTCGAGATAAACTCAATCATTTCGGATGAGATATGACCTGATATTAATAACGGGAACTTTCTAAAATTATCTTTGAAGACCCCAACTGAAATTAAGCTTTTCAAAATACTGTTGATCAGATGACTGGAAAGTAAACCATTCTGTGTAAACATTTACCGCTCAGCGCGTGTTTTTACATTTTGTTCTGCGTGAAGTTTCTCTGTTTGGACGTGTGCAAATAACGATTTTTTAGTTTATTTTTATTATTACAGTTTCCTGGCCCATTTTTAATGCTTTTTCTTTTTTTCTTCGTCTGCAACTTTATTCGTTTATTTTCGTGCAAGCGCCGTTTCAGACGCAGATCATAGTGTGAATGCAAATCAATTTTGTTTTTCTTCAACTCGAATACGCGACAAATTAACCAAAGGAACGGTTTCATCATTTGTCTGCAGCTCAATTTTCTTATATCTAATATTAATACACCAAAAAGAGGAGAAAACATTATTATCATTTTTTTTTAACAACAAATATGAATGTTATTTGCTATAGCTGTTATGTCTTGGGCCGCCAGGAGCTGTCGATCGAAAATAAGCTTAATTAAGGCATATTTTCATTTAAAGCCAGACTATTCATAGAGACAGAATCATTCATTATTTATAAAAAACGTATCAGCTTGAGCACTAAATCTTTTAAAGCTCTCATGATATAAAACAAAACCCGCCGCAGGGAGATAACGATAAAGAAATTCTGTAATCAACCACACCAGGTGACGCTAAGATTGAAATTTGACATTTTAGTATAATTATAAGACGGAAGGATGTCAATGTTTTATTCATGTAATTCGGAAAGCTTTTTGAAGCCCTGTGAAGAAAAAAGTTTATTGACACCCCATGGTGTTTTTTTCTTTTCTTTTTTTTATTTGTTCTGTCATTTCTAGTTTTAAGTTGAGCCCTCATCATAAAGGAAGATGGCTTTTAAAAATTTCTTAATTACCAACCATGTTTTAAGCAAAATATGTGCATTTCAAGTTTAATCTCTGAATCATTTTTACCCTTTTTTTTAACTATTTGCTTAGCTACTAATCGAGTTTTCATCATCGATCAGTTTTCAAATCAAAAAGGGTTCTTTTATTTAAATATTTGTCTTGCTTTTTAGTATTTACGTTTTCGTTATTTTCGTTTAATGATTTATTTATATCAGTTATTCTACAAATTTTGGTTTCCTTCTTCAACTTAAACGCACGGATTTATGTGGGATTTCATTGCAGGATTAAAAACCATCTCTTACCCTGTAAAGTAAACAATAAACAAAACAATAGGAAACTCCCAGTTTTATCTTTTGCTTAGGGTTTTTGTAGGTTGTTAAGTACAACAGTTCTTTCTGAAAATTTTTTAACTTTTTCTAACTCCACATAGTTACACTTATTCAGAATGTATTTTTCCCATAATAGTTCTCTCCGAAATGCGTGTCAAAGAATACCTTTTGGCCAACCCACAAGTATTGGAGGATTTTATCATGGCAGATATAAGCCAGGAGCAGCTCGAGAGATGGCTGATCCGAAAGACACAATCCACAGAACACATTAAAGGGGAAGGTAGTATTGGAATGACAATTTTATTACACGGCCTAATACTCATTCACACCAGATAAACATGTGAAGTTAAATCGGGTTTAACTGGATGAAAATCGAAAACAGAGAACTGAAAAACTGAATTTCCTTAGGTTTCAAGTAGTCACTAGCGTTTATTTCCCATTTACTGAATGAATTATAAGTCGAACAAACATCGGTATGAGCAGTTTTTTAGTGAAGAAGACAATTTTGAACCGTGTTTAACAAAACAGCTTTAAAATGTGTTAAAGCTTTAGTGTAAACCGGGTATGATTCGTTTATCTTTGTTAAGTTTTAGCCCTTTCAAATGCCTCCTATGGCCTTTTTCTATAAAGACTTTAGGCCTGTAGTCTATAAGATTTTGCTCTTGGCTGTGAATGAAACCCAAAGTCTGGTTTTTTTTCTCTCCTTGAGGGTAATTGCGTAGAATTAAAAGTTGTGTAATTTCTCTTCAATACTTTTCTTCTCCATTTTCCCAGCCGTGAGAACATCTCTCTCCAAATGGAAGGTAGGAATATTGATTATGTATACATACGCTGATAAATTGAACTTCTACATCGTCATCTGTTTATTTGATCGCACGATGATTTTCATTAATAATAGATTTATGTTTTCTTGTTTTTGGCGTGAGTAGTTTTGTGTTCATACCGACAAGCGCAAAATGCTCCAGCAACTGACGAAAGACATCAATCAACAGCCAAAAAAAGTCAGAGTTATGCACGAGCTCGTCAAAAGCGTAGCTGCAGGTAATGAAGAATTCTATCGTGTTTGACTTGCGATGATTTAAAACTACATGTATTGTCATTCCATTTTACTTTTCCTTTCCTTTATTGGAGAGGAAAATTATCTCTAGATAATCACAAGTTGTAATATTGATTCTTCTCAGTCAACGAGAATGATTTTTGCTCATCACTACGCACAGTTTCTGATGTTATTGGAATTTGAGATGTTTCGCACGACTTCTGTAAGAATCGAAGAAAACAAAAACAGCTTCAATGCAAAATAGGAAAAACAAGGATGCTGTTTATCAAGAATTGATGAAAGCCTTCACAATTACATCAGGATGTAGGAATGATTAAAAGACGATAATTATACCAAATGAACCCTTTGTCTATCAACAATTGTCAATATTGTGTTTCCTAGCCACTCATGCAAACGTACATTCACTTTACCTGGTGGACAAAAATGGAAGGGTGAGCTCTTATTGATCTTACTTTCAAAAATCTAACTTAATTATGTTTATCATTTGACATTCATGTACAATCTTGAGTCTAACTACATTTTTGTATATAAACAACAACAACAACAAGAACAGAAAAAGAAATAATCAAAACAGACAAAAAAAACTCACTTCAAGTTTTGCAAACTTTTGATGAAATGGTTTTCCAAATTCATCAGATTTTTTAACGATAAGGTGCATTTAGTACTTTGTGCTGCACGAAAAACCGTGAATCGTTTGTTAGGGTATAAAACTTAAAAAATCATTCATTATTTTCGATATTTTCTGACTGGTTAGGAGCCGGTAAGAGCATAAGGCAAGAATAGATTTTTTTACTACTGTCTTTCAATCGTTTGCTCGAAAATATTGGCATACGTTTAGATTGGGAGACATTGTACAATTTTGTTTTTTAAATTTACTAAAAGAAACTGGCAAAGTTCATGTTCACGTTTGCACTAAATCTGTTTTTAGTATTATTAATTATTAAATTATTATTATAATTATAATTATATTATTTATTATATATTATATGATATATATTATTAATTATAATAATATATAATTAAAATTAAAATATAATTAATAATAATAATAATTCTTAAGTATTAATGGGATAAAAACCATATTCTTATATTCTCTCAATCTCACAGGACATTTATCTGTATTCAAAGAACAAGCCGAGGTAAAGCAAAGGCGTTCCTGGTTCTCTTAAGTGTATTTATGTACGAACAGCTTTACACTTTCTTCAGCGGTGAATCTGATTTTTTGTTTTTCTTGGTTTGGTTTTGTAGATCCCGGTCTCTTTGTCGTCAGAAAATTGGATGTGGTGGCACGATTGCGGCTTATGTCGCTGAGACGGGTCAAAGGCTTTATGTTAAAGATATTCTCGGGGTAAACCTTTTATCAAAGTTTGTTATTGTGCAAAACAAAGACACATTTTGCAGAGACAAATGTAAACTCTGATGTTCTGACCTTATCCAAACTGACTCAGCATATATCATGGCCTTTTCGTCTAGCTAATGACCTAACCATTTTAAAACTTGACTTAGATTAACCAAATCGAGAAAGCGTTGTCCAACTCAGCCAGCTCCACGTGAGGTGGTGAGGAATTTGGTCAATATTAATTCATTTTTTTCGTTGTGCGTTTTCTATTAACCTTCATGTGAACGTTTGCGTACTGAATCTGTTGTGAAAGAGCAATAAAGCTAACTCAAGCAAAATAAATGACGACTCGTTGCGTCAAGGAATAAGTTCTTTGTGCGAAGTAAACCAACGCAACACCTTGTGATTTAAGATTGCCAATCTGACTGCAGTCAGACATTAGTACTTAAAGTTATTATCTATTGTTTTGTCATAGGACGAGAGATTTCCCAAAGGAATTGGTATTGAAGGTTAGTTGCGCCCAGATTCTTTTAGAGTGATTTTCAATTGAATTTCCAAAGAAATTAGGGATTGAATTTGTTTTGCTTTACTTTTCTCTGTGATTGGTCTACAAAAACTCGAGCCGCTCTCTCAGCCAATCAGATTCAAACGTAGAGAAAATCGCGTCTTAATTGTCTTTGACACTGAATTCAGATGCCCTCAATAACTTAAATGAGACGTTGCTTAACATCCGACGGAACAACGAACTAACTTTCTCTCTCTGCTGCAGCAAAATACTGAGATGAACATTTAGGATTCTTTTTTATTTAGTTTTTGGCTGTAGCAATTATTTCTTTCCAAACTAAACTAAATTAAACCCCTCTCGAAGTCGGTAGAAGCGTTACCAAAAAACAAATGTAACGTGATCAAATATGAGCAAAGCTAATCACAAATAAACCTTTTACGATTGACTGTCTGAATTTGATCGCTGCATAGAAGAAAATGAAAAAATAAAGGGTAGCTGCTTTGTTGTTCTCCCAAGTTGCCTTTGTTTCATTTAAGCAGCAATACGTAAGCCACCATTCATGAGTATACTTATATGAACGATTCAGTCCCGTGCGTGAACTAATTCCCACTCTGTAGAAATGACGGTTATAACTGATAGTCTTTTGGAATTGTGTTTCTTTGTGTTTCAGACAGCACAGCCCAGTCTGTATTGTGTCAGCCTATCGTACAAGCCGATGGAACTATAGTTGGTACGAAAATGGTTCTTTTTCTAATTTTACGCGATTTTATGCCAAACACAAAATTAAAACCCCAGGCCAGGTTGTTCCAATGGTGTATAACGCTATCCACAGGATAAATCTTTATCCAGTGGATAACGCTACACGTTGCCTTAGGAGTAAAGAAATAGGTGACAAATAAAATGAGAGTGATAAAAGTTCAAGGGAGCAAATTTAAAAAAAAAATATGGAACTCAAAGAAGATAATTTCTGCTTAGACCCTGAGAATGAAAGAACTCGATTAATGATGCACACTACGCACTTATGATGGAGCCAGCTCAAAGGATATTTTCTGCAGAAAAAGTTTTGTTCAAAGGCAGAAATTAAATCAATCAGGTTTACAGACCCTTCCATGAAAATTCAGCCTGCACCACGGGAAGGAAACAAATTAAGGAATTCCTTGGTAGAATAACTCTTTATTGTTCATGGCGTGACAAATTTTTGTAGCAAATAGCACGGTATTCTGGTTTTTATGCCAGGTATTGTCGAATTGGTAAAAAAACTTGGCAACCCATCATTTGAACGGGAAGACGAGGAGGTGAGTAATGTAATTGCTTTGTGTTGCAGCATTTTGCCAATTGCGTATAGAAAATGGAAAGAGCTGGAAATCATGGATAAACCAGTTTCTCACTGCAAATCAGTTCAGGGGAGTAAACTCCAAGGGATAAATAAGTCACATTAGACTCGCTCTAGTTTGCTGCGCGCATTCTTCACTGCGCATGCACTAACGAGAAAAATTAGGAGACTGAGAACTACCCGCATGGGAGGAGAGTTTTTCTCACACCATACCAAAGCGCATCAATGACCAAAACGATTATGGAGAGCGAGATTCAGCGGGATTCAGTTCATCATTTCTTCGGTGCTCAGTCATTTTTGCCATTCTTAAACAGTTTCTTGTTTGTTTATCTGTTTTTATTTGTTTGCTCTGTCAGATCGTTAATAGTTATCTTGCCTGGGGTAGTATAGCTATTCATCACGCTGAGGTAAGTACAAGTATAAGTAACAGCTGTGATCTTTTGGGGGAAGGGGAGGTGCATGGTAGAGAAGAGAAACTCAGGGTACTAGGTTGAGTAACAAGGCGCGCCCTTCTTCCATCCAAAGACTCTCATGGGTTACTTTTCTAACTAAATTATCAGTTATTCTATGCCATTAACATAGACCAGCTATGTAGAACTGAGTTGCATTAAGAATTTAAGGGGCTTTTCTGTCGATGTTCTTGTTTTAAGAGCTACTGGGTTTTCATTAAAACATACAGAGTGCACAAAGCAAAATGTATTAATCGTGAAGCTTACACATGCTGTTTCGAATAATTTACCAATAATTTTTCGTTTGCAATCCCCTCTAGATTTCAAAACAAATGCAAAAGCAAAAAGATCTAAATAGTTTCCTGTTGAATGTTGTAAGGTAAGAGTGTAAAAGAAAATACTTATGATGCATTTCTGTTAATCCTCATGAAATTAGACTGTCACAATTTTTGAAAAGAACATTATCACTCAAGATTACCTTATGCGAGCCTCGGAACAAAAGATCTCATTTGTTGGTCGACGACATACCAAGAGCCCTCGACTATAAACCAGCTCACGAAATTTGTCTTAATTAAGAACGTTTTCAGGAACAAGACATTGGGGTCTGTGTATAATTCACTCATGGTAACTTTCATTGGAAATTAACAGACAAAGTTTACGTGAGAAAATCGGCGAAAGAAGAGCTAACCTCTACCATTAA